GTGTCTGCATACCGTAAGCACTGGATGCCTAATGGCATCCCTCCGCTCTCTGCACGCGTCAGCGAGGATGCTTAAACCCCCGGCCGTATCTGTCACCTAGGCATGATGGCCTAACCCCCTTCCGTATCATGTACACGTTAGCATGGGAGGTGCTACACAACGCGCCCCCCTGTGTCTGTTAACTCGTAGCATGATGCTAAACCCCCCCCCGGTGGTCCTGTACCGTAGCATGGTGGGCTAAAATCCACTCCGTGTCTGTACCGTAGCATGGTGCTAACACCCACCGCCCGCCCGTTCCTGTACCGTCGCATGGTTGCTAACACCCCCCGGATCCGGCGCCGGTTCCGTGTTTGCTACCGTAGCTATCGGTGCTAATCATCTCCCTCGCGTCTCTGCCACATCGTTAGATGTGTGCTAACACCCCCCCTCCTGTCTGTCTACCTGTTTAGTCATGGTGTGGCTAACATCCTTCCGTCTCTGGCAGCTTGTAGCATGATGCTAACCTTCCCCCCCCCACGTGTCTGTTGTACCGTTGCATGGTTTGCTAACTCATCCCTCTCTCCGTCTCTGCACACGTAGCATGTGTGCTTAGAACCCCCCCCCCCGTGGTCTGTACCGTAGATGTATGTGGTAGTATACAGCTCCCCGACTGTGTCGTGGGTACACCGTAGCACTGGTGCTAACATTCCTCCGTCTCTGCACCACGTAGCATGATCGTAATACTCCCCTGTGTCTGCGCACCGTCGCATGATGCCTTACATCCCCCCCCCCCGTGGGTCTGTACCTGTAGAATGATGCTAACACTCCCTCCGGGGGTCCAGTCTCTGTACCGTAGCATGATTCTCAACAGCCCCCCCCCGTGTCTGTACGCGTAGCATTGATGCTAACCAGCCCCCCCCCGTTATTGTTACGCGGTAGCTGGTGCTAACACCCCGCGTGTCTTGTACCGTAGCATGATGCTAACACCCCCCCCCGTGTCGTGCGTACGTAGCATGACTTGCTAAGCACCCCCCCCCGTGTCTGTACCGTAGCATGATGCTAACACCCCCCCCCCGTGTCTGCTACCGTAGCATTGGTGCTAACACCCCCCCGGCCCCGACCTGGTCTGTACCGTAGCCAGTGCATGCTAACACCACCCCCCGTGTCTGTACCGTAGCATGATGCTAACACCCCCCCGTGTCTGCACCGTAGCATGATGCTAACATCCCGTGTTTCCTCCATCTAGGTTAGCAGCGACGAGGGCGCGGTGCACCAGACGAAGTCGCGTGAGGATCAGCCCATCGATGACGTGCAGCTCAGGATTGAATCGCTCAGCGGGACGAAGGGGGGACTACAATTCTACTGTCCGATCGGCAACCACGTGCCGACGGCACTTATGCCGATCCGGTTCGCCAAATACGACTCGGGCGTCGACTTCATCCTGGCGTTCGAGGAGTTGGAAAGAGACATCGAGCAGGTAGGTGGCGCTGGCATCTTGCATCAGAAAAATATATAGTGGGAGCACTGATTTATATATTACTCAGTAACGTATACATATAGATTAGTGAGTGGGATCTCGTATACGTCGACGATGATGATGGGTTCTTGATAGTAGAAGTGATTGCGTGTCGCGTCATAACAAATTGTTGCGTGGGTGTGTGCGTGTGTGCGCGTATGTGGGTGCGCGCGTGAGTGTTAATTAAAAGTTAACATCGCGAAGAGGGGCGTGGAGAGCTGTGGTGGCCTCGATCTATAACTGCGGTGTTGTCGTGTTTAGCTATAGCTTTGTGTAATGTTGCTAGCTGTTGCCGTGTGTAGCTGTAGCTGCGTGTAATGTTGCAAGCGGTTGCCATGTGTAGTTATAGCTGCGTGTAATGTTGCAAGCTGTTGCCGCGTGTAGCTGTAGCTGCGTGTAATGTTGCTAGCTATTGCCGTGTGTAGATATAGCTGCTGGTAATGTCGCAAGCTCTTTCCGGGTTTAGCTATAACTGCGTGTAGTGTTTTAAGCTGCTTTCGTTAGTAGCTACAGTTGCGGGTAGGGTTGCCGGCTGTTGCCGTGTGTAGCCATAGTTGCGGTTAGTGTTGCCGGCTGTTGCCGTATGTAGCCATGCCTGCGGTTAGTGTTGCCGGCTGTTGTCGTGTGTAGACATAGCTGCGGGTAATGTTGTAGGCTACTGCTCGCCGTGCCGAGGTGATTGCTAATAGGAAGGCTGCAGCCAAGAAACAGTGCGAGCACGCCGAGGAGATGAGAAAGGCTTTCAAGGCTAACCAGGCCGAGAAGACCAGGAAGATGCAAGAAGTGCAGGACGAAAAGTAAGCGGAGCGCCACAAGAGTGAACAGATATAAAAGGGGATGTGGATGGATAGAAGAGAGTCATGCGCAAATGCATTGCCACTGTCTATGGCACCGATTTTTTATCTCTTGCATATTCCCCAACTTTTCCCATACTTTCGTTTCTCTCGGTTTCCTGCTCTCTTCTTCCTCCCTCTTCGGTATATTTTCTTTCCACCTCCCCCCCCTCTCTCTCTCTGTCTCGCCGTTCTCTTTCACTCCCCTTCTCGCTTCCTATCTACTCTTTCATCTCCCAATCTCTCTCACGCAATTGTTCACACCCTATATCTTTCCTTTTTCTATCTGTCTGTCTCGCTTTTGTCTCTCTGGTCTGTCCTTCGATTACACGTGCTGGCACAATCTCGCTTAATCTTAATCTTTCGCATCTTCCC